CATAGAGTCTCCTCCTAGCATGGCATCCCCCACCATAGAGTCTCCTCCTAGCATGGCATCCTTTTTCTCCTGCAGACCAGAAGTCCAGTTCTCCCACGATAGAGTCTCCTCCTAGCGCGGCGTCCTATTTCTTCTACCTGTCCTAACCGAAAGCCCTATCAATTGTGGAGCTGACCGGTGACAGGGAGCCGCAGCAGAGGGAGGAAAGAGCCACATGCGGCTCCAGAGCCCTGGTCTAGAATGACATAGGCTCTCCCGCACAAGCAGGGGGTTGGACTAGAAGATCTCCAAGGTCCCTTCCAACTCTCTTATTCTATGTTCAACTTTTACTCATTGGCCCAGAAGTGGAGGAATTCGTCCGATCTAGTTTCTACACACTCTTAATTTTTTCTACATCTCCATCATAGCGCCCATTAATCTATTTAAAATTCCACATTACCCACCTCAATCCAGTTTGTGAGCCAGTAACAGTTTGGATCCGTGTTTTCAACTGTGAAAAGTACATTTCCTCTGGGAATGACAAATCCCTCGGGAACAGCCTTTATTTCAATAGGAAGACGGCCATCATACTTCTGTGATGTAAAAGAGAAACAGAAGGATGGTTTTGAAAACACTCCAATACCACCATCTATTTTAGCCGGATGAAAAATAGGTTTCAATATAAATACAGTGGTACCTTGGTACTCGTTGTTAATTGAGTACCAAAAACGATGAGTACCAAATAAATGCCTCCAAGGAATAATATAGTTCAGGGGTCCCCAACTCCCTGGTCCATGGAACTGGTCCCTGATGCCCAAAACTTTGGAGGCCGCTGATATAGTGAGTCACAAGGCAGATGACACTGCTAAGTTCTAGCTTCTGCACTGAGTATCAAACAAATGATGAGTATTGGGACAACATTTTCACGTCAAAATGCGTTGAATACCAAATTTGATGAGTTTCAAAGCATTTGAGTATCAAAGTACCACTGTAGGTATTTTTTAAACTAACGGCATTTAGATATTTAAAGATACTGCTACAGATTTCTCTGGTTTGCTTAAAAGAACATTGAATTATGATGTCATCTTTTCAATTACCGTTTTTTTTATTAGCCAAACTAGCAACATATTTTGGGTATGAACAGAACATACTACTTCGGAAACAAAATAATGATTCCCCCAAGGAATACGAACTTCTTAAGAAGAAATAAAGAGGTTTGTGATATAGCAGGGGAAAAAATCCAAAACTTCTGATTTTAAGGACCATATTCGGGATAAAACTAATCTATTAATTCATATATAAATTATCCAGAGATCTTTAGTAACAGAACAAATGTTAAAAAGCTATTTTAGAAGTCCCAAAGATGCTTTTTCAAAAGGCTACTGGACTTTCTTTGTTTTTTCCTTGAAGATGCTTCGCTTCTCCTCCAAGAAGCTTCTTCGGTTCTGATTGAGGGCGCTTTCTGAACTTGGTGGTTTTCTTGCAGACATTTTATTACCCCAACTAGGTAACTGTTGTGGCCCAGCAGGAGCCATTGAAGCTGCCACCAGACTCCAACAGCGAGGGGCCCTATGAGTCGACTCTGGAGGATGTGGAGGACCCTGGACAGGGCACACAGAGGCTGGTTGGCCACCAGGAGGCACCTGAGCCTTGGACCAGTGGGGAGGAGACAAGGGAGAGTGATCCGGACGCCAGCAGTGAGTTATTCCTGGATGCCCGGTACCGAAGAGCTAATAGGCGTCAGGAACAGTTGCACAAGTACAGGAGGTAATTGTACTCAGCTGGTGGTCATTAGGCTCATCTCCAGACTATAATAAGGACTGCTTGTGCACACGCCCCTCTTTGCAGGAATCAACGCATTGACTAAAAGTTGGAGAACTTCTGTAACTAGCTTGGCAGGATGGATTGCTGGATTTGTCTGAGTTGCTGCCAAAGTCCTTATCTGTTTGTTATGCTTGGCTTTCAGCCACCGAGGTTTTGGTTTCTTGCTAATAAAGTATATTCCAGTTAAGCTTGTCTCGGCATTCGTTACTGGACGGAGGAGGGGGTCAGAACAGGTAACCATCACCAGGTAGCCATCATGTCATAAGTGCCCTGATGGTGTTATCTAGTTGGGGTAACGAATCACCTGCAAGAAAAATCACCCAAACCGCCTGAACCAGTAGAATCCCACTCCTGGATGCAACATTCCACTAAATGCAAACATTAATGCAACTTGGTTTTACCTCAAGAATATAGGTCCATCCTGTTTCATTGAAGACATCGTCTTGAAAATGTTCCCTGTATACTTCTTTGGCTGCCTGTATTTTCTCTTTGGTTACCACTCTGCCTATGGAAGAATTCAAACTGTATTATGTACTCAAAGAAAGTCTGTTTCGGACAGGAGTTATCTGCTCTGAAAGTTGGTTTGGCAATACAGTGTGTGTGTGTGTGTGTGTGAAATTTAAATAATACATAAAAAAATATTACCGTGTTTCTCCAAAAAGACGAACCACCTGAAAAGAAGCCCCTACCATGTTGTTGAGCGCATGCGATCAAATTAAGCCCCACCCACAAAATTAGACCCAATTAAGACCCCGCCCACCCCAGGGTGCAGGAGGTGGGGCGAGGCACACAGGTAAAAAACAAACTAGGGTGAGGATGTGATGGGGTGGAGCTGCCCTACTTACCAGGCCTCGCATACCACCTTGTCTTGCCTTCTTTTGAGGCCACTTGCCGTCACTTGCATGCATTGCCCCTGGCCTCTATTTCGTCGCGCAGGTGCCCTACGCTCCATGTGCGTGTGCGGAAGCCCTGAACAGCTCAAATACCGGTAAGGAGCGCGGGCTGGTGGGTGGGCCCTCCAGAGCACCGTACCTAAATGGCGTGACCCGACAAATGCACGCACGACAAAAGCGTGCCGACAAAACCGCGGCAAGAAAGCCGCGAGGTCAATATAGCGCCCACAACAGCACACCGACAAAACCGCGCCCACAAAAGCACGATTAGGGTTAAGGTAAGGATTAGGGTTAGGTTCAGGGTTAGGGTTATTAGGTTGTTTTGGCGTTGTTCGTTGAAGGCGTGCTTTTGTCGGCGCGCTGTTGTGGGCGCTATATTGACCTCGCGGTTTTCTCACCGCGCTTTTGTCGTACGCGCATTTGTCGGTGAATCCCTAAATGGTATTCGGTGCTCCCAGCAGGCACTGGTACGCATGTACCGGGGTGTACCGGTCATAACCCACCACTGAGTTCTCGTCCGCGGGCTGGTGGGGTATAGGGGAAGTGAGATAGGACGGACACCTCCTGCAGCACCCTGCCAGTCAAAATGGGCTGTGCTTCCATGCGGAGGCTCCATGAGGCCTGTTTTTGGCCGGCAGAGTGCTGCTGGAGGCTAGGGAAGCCAAATATGGGCTGGGGGGGGGGGGCACACAGGGGGCCTTTTGGCTGGCAGAAACACTGCGGGCCAGTCCTTTGATATTTTCAGGCCTCCCCCTGGCCCTAATTTAAGCTTCCTGCAGGCTGGATCGTGAGTTTGGCATTCCTGATCTAGGCAATTAATTTAGGATAAAACAAATACGGCACATATTCAAGGACAATTCAAAGATTCTTTTTATGACTTATCCATGATACAACTCCAACCTAAGACGTATCAAAAATTATTCTCATCCCAGCCAGAAATAACATCAGGGAATGAGAGCGACAATATGGAAAGGCGGCATTTGAAAATATAGGAGGGGGGAAAAATGTACCTTGTAAGTATTTATTAAGTATGTACTGCAATCCGTAAAAAACCGTTTCCTCGTATTTGACCTTCCTAAATTTGGAGTTCTCCGTCTTCTTTTCACGACATTCAAAGTATGAATAAACTTTAGTTGTGTTGGGAGGATACTGTTTGTAATGTGTCACCTGCAATAAGATAAGTTAAGAAAACATTTAGGTCCATAAGAAGAGTGGGGGAAAAAATATGCAAATTTAAAGCATGGGGCTACAACCTTTTTTCCCCCCCAAGGATCGTTTTCGTGACCTCTTGCTTGCTCAAATCCCCCTCCCCAAATTTTAGAAGGATTATTCATCGCTCCGTTTCAATTGTAGGCTGGCAATTTTGGGGCATCCATTCTTCTTTTCCATTTTAGATGATTAGGGGACTGGAGGTTAAAACAGATAACGAATGGTTGCTGGAATTGAGTATGTCTAATTTAATGAAAAGAAGGACTACAGGTGACATGTTAGCGGTGTTCCAGTATTTGAGGGGCTGCCCCAAAGAAGAGGGGATCAACCTATTCTCCAAAGCACCTGAGGGCAGGATAAGAAACAATGGATGGAAACTAATCAAGGAGAGAAGCAACTGAGAACTAAGGAGACATTTCCTCATAGTGAGAACAATGAATCAATGGAACAACTTGCCTCCAGAAATTGTGAATGCCCCAACACTGGAAGTTTTTAAGAAGAGGTTGGACAACCATTTGTCTGAAATGCTATAGGGATTCCTGCCTGAGCAGATTGTTGGATCTTTCCAACTCTGTTATTCTATTCTATTCTACTCTAATATTCTATTCTACTCTAATATTCTATTCTACTCTACTCTAATATTCTGTTCTATTCTATTCTACTCTATTCTACTCTAATATTCTGTTCTATTCTACTCTAATCTATTCTAATATTCTATTCTATTATACTCTAATATTCTATTCTATTATACTCTAATATTCTATTCTATTATACTCTATATTCTAATATTCTATTATATTTACTCTAATATTCTATTCTACTCTA